AGCACTCTTTGGGAAGACAGAAACAGAAGAAGTCAAAATAAGAGAGGCACTAATTAAAGGTCTTATTCCAAAAGAAATGCAAGACAGATTGAGGCAGCTCCTAAGTACAAAATCAAGATAGCAGTTTATGAAAATAGTAGCAAGAATGGCCTAGGACACATTTTACGAACAAGTATGAAGAATCCGATATGAGAAAATCAATAAGTGGGAAAAAAATAAAGAAATAACAGGTAGAATAAAAAGAAGGAAAGGAAAAGAGAGGAAAGCACCAAGCAAAAGGGTGAAAACAAATCAGCGATTAATTGAAAAAAGAAAAGAGAAAGCGAAAGAAAAAGAAAACCAAATCAGAAAAGAAGTACAGAAAACAATCTTAGAGCTTGTTATAGAAGGGAGAAGACCCTTTCATTATAGACTTTAAGTAGTCAGATAAGCAGCTTACTTCTGCTTGAAGTAATATAGCAGATTGCACTTAGGTACCATTAGGGTGGCTAGGTGATGCTAGGCTTAGTTGTTAAGGATATTTATGTAATTGCAAATGTAGTTTCAAAATCTTAATAAAGCACTAGTATGACTGCTTAAGGAAAAAAAAAAAAGATAATATATTATAACAACAGGATGTAATTTAACTATTATTGTAACTGTATCTATTAAGGATAGATAGGTTTAAACTAATTTTTATATAGAACTAAGCAACTTAAGTTTATTTTTCTTTATTATAAAGAATGCAAGTAAAAGCCTAATTAGCTTTCTCTTTTTTATATATTTATATTGTATATTATAATACAATTACTTAATTATGACTCAATACAATTACTTAATTATAACTTTAAATCAAATGTATAGTTATTATAATTCCTAATAACTCAATGTTTGATTATACTAATATGATTCTAACTTTACATTATATTTTATATAATATACAATTATTCTATGAACTTCTAATATGTTTGTTATATAACATATGCATTGTGCAATGTTCTCTTACAGTTATTATATTTAATTAATTATATATTTATTATAGTATGTATTAAATTTAGAATCAACTTTTACTTTTAGATTTTGTGACAACTTGAATTTCATTTTAAGCTGATTCTTAATTTTATTACAATGATTATGCATTATTACAAATATTATTATTAATTTAACCTAAACTTTGAAATAAATTCTTTGAAATAGGATTCATAGAAAGACATTTATATAATTAATTGTTTTAATACAATTAGAAAATAAAAATAAACTTTATATAAAGAAGTTTATAAACTAATAAATATATCCGTTTGAATAATGCTAAGACCAAGAAGGGTTGCAAACCAGCAGTGGCAGCAGGGACCTGGCTTGAGATACATGCCACTAGTACCTGAATTAGGAAAATGGCAGCAGCAGCAGGAATCTGGCTTGAGATACATGCTAGAGAGGCACCCTTCAGGCAAACTAAAGATAGGAGCTCAAAAGAAGCAAACGATCTGGTGGACCAATTTGGGAGTTGTGAAAAATAGGTTGTGAGACATGGGGGAATATGCAGGTTACCTAATATAATCGGTAGTGAAACAGAAATCCAGGTTAGATGTAAGTGGGATACAATACAAAGCTCTGGTAGGTTTAGGTCACAGATAAAGATGTCTGAGTCCTATGTCTAAATAGATATATAGTGATAGATGATGTATGATAAAAATTGTACTAGCTATAACCAATATATTAATAAAAACTTGAGGGCATGACCTCACCTTAACAAAAAAAAAAAAAAAAAAATATTCTATTTTATTTTATATATAAAATAAATTATTTTTAAATTTTAAAAAAAATTTTATTAAAATTATTTATAAATAAGTACTTATAAATATAAAAAATATAATAATTTTTATATAAAATATGCTTATATAGCAAGAGCATAGTTAAAAATCCATTTGATTCGCCAATAATCATCCATTTTTTTAAATTATTTGATTGGCTAATAGTCATCAATTTTTTGATTGGCTAGTAGAGACACAAAACATCTTATATATTTATACAATAAAAACCAATAAATCAATAGAGCCAAAAAGCCAATTTGCATCTCTATCAGCTTGCGCATAACTTAATTTAGAGTGAACTCATTGCTTTCATATATTCACATTTATAAAATATATATGATAATAATCTTTGCAATAAATGTATTTAATAAATCTAACAATTGTATATAATTAATATATTTGTATGTTCAGAATGTATGTCACAAACGTTTGTACAACATAAATTATATAGTGTAAAACTAATTAAATATGTAAAATGTGTAAATATAATATATATAATAAAATTCTTGAAACAAAATAAAAATGCCAAAACAAAAGATTAATAATAGTCTCTGTTCTGTTAAAAATTGTGATAAAGATTCAAATATCTTTCAGTGCTTAACTCAATTGGCTATGAAAAAAGCAATCGCAAATAGTACTATTCAACAGTATTTATACTTACAGCTAGGTTAACAACTTTGTAACTCTTATTATATAATTATTGTTGAAAATAAGCTAACTCATAAAAACTCACCTACAGTTATTATTGAGAATAAGCCAATTAATAAAGATAAGCCTATTTCAAACTTACCAAATAAACTATCACTTGGAGATCAAATTAAAAAAATGATGGCTGTTTTGTATAAAATAAGACAAGAAAGTCTTGTACTTGATTCAAAGGAATTTAATGAAATTATTGAAAATGCGGACTCAGGCCTAAAATGTTTTTTTCCTGAAATATGTAATATATTAATACTGAATAATCATTTACCTTATAACCAAGATGAGGATAAAAAAATAAATAGTTGTAATCTTGTATTTGATGGCTGAATTGCGGAATAAGCATGCCAATAGTTTCAAGCTAGAACTGGCCTTATATCTTGTGGGATTAGGAACATCATGCAATGCAATTAATGCACTAAGTAATGCTGAAATTTCTGTTACTTACCAAACTGTTCATAATTATAAAAAAAAGATTGCTAGTGAGCATCCGCTAAAAATAGAAAAATATTTTAATAATAATGAAAAAAATCTTTGCATTTATAACCTAGATGACTATCATAATATACATAAAAAACATCAATCTAATAATACATCTCTTTCAGATATCTTTTATTTTGCGACAAGTATATGTAAAAAAGTCGAAGCTCTTCCAGTACCAATAATATTTAATGGAATATCTGTTTATAATCCAAATAATATTAAAGTTTTGATTATTTGTGAAAAGCTGATAAATAAGTATCAGCAATACTTTGACTTGTCATATTTGCAATGAAAAACTTAATAGAATAATTCTAATTTAGTTGAATTTGACAAAGTTAATCAACTTATGATACATTTGTATGATAATGCTATTATAGAGCATAAAAAAGAACACAAAATAAAAGATGTAATTTTAGTCAGAATGCAGGAACAGCAACTTCATTCTTTATATGATTATTTAAAGGCATTAAATATAATCTTATATTATAACAAAAAAACAAATGTGGCACCAATTGTTGTGAATTGGCCAGATCAACTTTTTATCTACAAAGCACTTATATATCTAAGTAATGGAAATAAAAATTTATTAGTGCAACCTGAAGTAACATCTTTTGTTCCTTTTCTTGGACCACTACATGTTTTTCTTAATACAAAAGAACATGTTATAAAAGCTTATTATCCATTTTTTAAAAAGCTTTTTCATGCTGTGTTTGGAAAACGAAAAATTTTTGCAAAAAAACCTAGACCATGAAGAATAAACCTTTTATTAAACTTAGTGTTCTCCGCATAGGTTAAAATTAAAGAAAATATAATAATGAAATTTACTTATTTTAAAAAAAATATTGAATATCAGACTATTACTGAACTTCTAGACAACCTTGTACCAGTAGCTCTTGATGTATATACCTTGCTATTTCGGTCTGGTTTATTTGATAATTATGTAGAAACAATTTTTCATATTTGGACCTTCGCTCTACATTAGGAGCATAAAAATTATAATAAAGCTCCACTCACATTTTTATCAGATATATTTTATTGAAAAAAGAATAAACACCCAATGAGAAAGGCAATAGAAAAGCATTTAGTTCAATTTAATGACTATTGGATAGAAAATATGCATAGCAGAATACAGGCTACAACATCACCAAATGACAATGTCGATAATATACTGAAACAGGCTTACATTTTGGACTATCATAAATATTCAGTCTTCTGTGAAATGTTTTCAACAACATATCGCTACCCATATTCATCACGAGATTTGAAATTTTTAACTGATAAGACTTGTCTCTTTCTCTTATCTCAAATTTAAGAAATTTATAGAAAAAATAAAGAAACAAATTTAATTAGTAACAACATTTCTTCAAAAAAATGGCAGTTCAAAAAAAAAAATCACACTACTTATGATCTTCCTACTCTAGGAGAGATAAATATAACAAGTATGCAAGCTGAATATAGTACTCCAATTCCTCCTTCATATAATGGTTGTGATCACTGTCATCAATTATTATCTACTAATAATAATGAAATTGTCTTGGTCTGTAGGCATGGGTATCATATAGAATGCTACAAAAAAATGGAAGAAAAATGTCAATACTGCTTAAATTTTTATAAAGATGGCATATGGCATAATGTTAATGCATTTTTAGAATGTTTAAATTTAGAAAAAAATATTAGTATTGACAATTTAAAAGATGATGAAGATGATGAAGATAACACCACAGACAAGAATGATTTAGAAGAGAAGGATGATAATCGACTAAATATGAATAAAAGAGAAAATTTAGAATTGGAATTGCAAAACAAAATTAATGAAATGAATAATTGGTAATAAAAATTTATTAATAAATTATTTACTGTTTAGCTAAATTTTTTTGTTTAAGTTATTATTTCACAGGATTTTACGAGAATTCTGACCTAATTTTATAGTCAAAATGTATGCGAAAATATTAATAGTAAACTAATATACAATTTCAGAATTAACAAGCAAGTTCTGATTAACTTTACCAACAAGCAAACAGGTTAAAAATCAAAGAGTATATAAGTTCCTTGACTTAGAACAATGAGAGTAAAATTTTATTAAACATATAAAATTAGCATTTTTTACAAAATACTGTCATAGTAGAAGTCACTAGTGAATATGATTATACCTAATTAAATTATTCTGTAGGTAAAGAAGCAAGACATTAAGGTTGTCATAAAGTTTTGTTAACAGTTTCTATGTAATATAACATAGTTTTTATATAAGCAAAGATAAATATTTTCTTATTTAAGTATTATAAAAAATTGATGTACTGATTAGCCAATCAAATGAATTTTTAACTATGCTTATAGCAAGTTTATTTTTTTATTTTTTTATTTTTTATTTTTTTTCAGTATTAAGGTAACCTTTTTGATTGTAGCTTTTTATTAATACTTATATCAGTACATATTTTATATAGATATATCTATAATAAACTATCAAACGAGTGTACAACTAGCTACATATATAACTTTTCTATATTATCTATTTAAAGAATCTGCCTGAAGGTTCCCTACTAGTTGCTATATCTAACACCTTTGCTTAGATGTTCTATTTAAACCTTCTGATCTGATCCTAGTATTAATTTTATCAGATCACAGACCCAGATCTATTCACTTTTAACCATAAGACTATAATTCTTAAACTATTTTTATTCTTGAGGTAAAGCTATCAGAGTGAGCTGTATTCTCTTTTACTGCTAATCTGATTTGATGCTATTACCAAGGCCAATACTTGCAGTTAGGGTTACCTCTTAAATTGCTATTATTCTTGTAAAGTTTATTCAAACTCTGGTACCTATCTTTTCAACTTCTTTTTCATTATTTCCTACTAGTTGCAACTCAGAACCAACAACAGACTTCTCTAGACTTCCAATTCAGATAGCCTGGTATAGTATACTTAATTATTTTTTTCCTCTAATAATTCTGGTAGTCTGGTTAGTCATGTGTTCCTCTACACATCTTGTTATTCAGTTTATCTGACAGTTCCTATAAAGGTGTTTCATGGGCTTCCATCAGTCCAATGGCATCATTAAAAGTTTGTGCAACTTCTTTATTCAGAATATCCAAGTGGGTTTTTGTCTCTTCAGTTTCTTAGCCTTCTACACCCAGTAGTTTTATCATGGGTTTGCACTGAAGCCTTATTCAACATCAGTTTTTCATATTCTTTAGATAGTGTAATGTTATACTTTGCATAGATGCCCTGAGCTCTCAATGTCAGGTGAGGCCTGACTTGGTGTATCTAAGATTACAGATGCCTAAAACTCAACTGATCAGCAAGAGACAGTTACTGTAATACAGGTATAATTTCCAAAATTCATCATCTATAAAAATTGAACCTTAGACCTGCCACTTGAGAGTTGACAACCTATCTACTTTACTTGATTATCACACTTCCTATATAGTAAGTTTATAAAATTAATAATTAATATATATATATTTTATAATACCAAATCATAACTTATACTTTATTTAGTTTTTTGTATTACTATTATATATAGTTACAAAAATTTTCATATAACACTCTTCTTTGTAGATTCCTTGACCAAAAATTCTAGAAAAGAAAATGTAGAAAAACTCAACAACTAGACTAGAAAATATAACTCAAGGTATTAACAAAAAAGACAGAATAGCAAAAGTTGCATATAGTTAAATAGAAGAATATAGAAGAGAAACTAAAGCAACAGAAAAAAACAGCATATAAAGAATTTTTGATGAAAAGCAGAAAATTCTTTTGAAAAATTGGAGAACTGCCAATACCTTGTATCATAGATCCTTTAAGTTATACAAAAAGTCACAATAGGACTGGCAAAGTAAACAAACAAACATATACATCAAACCAGTTTAGTCTAGATACAACATGTAATAAAGAAGCATATAGAAAATGATTGTGCAATATGAATAAAAATTTGCCAGAAGAATATAAAAAAAATCTTAATGCAATTTTTACAAGAAGAGCATATAAGGCTATAAACAGTATGCATAATAAAATCTTCTTTAATGAAGCAAGCAAGACATATGCAATACCAAGTAGAAAAGATAATATCATTTCAGCACTTACTAAACAAAACCCAAATAAAGTAGCACTTCTGCGAATAACAAGAGAAATATTAGAAAAAGCAGAAAGAGAACAACCTAGAAAAAAGCTTGATTTTGTAGAACAACATCAAAATAGAATAAGCACAGAAAAAAAAGAAAGAACAACAACAAACAAATAAAATAAAAGAAAGACAAGAAGAGACAAGAAAAAAAAAAAAAGAGGCTGAAAAGGTCAACAAAAGTCTACAAGTAAGTATTAAGATTGCAAGAGAAAAAGTAAGTATACAGGTAGAGCAAACAAGTAATAGCCAAGTAGAAACCAAACCATCCTCTTGTGAAGAAAAAGAACAAGAACAAAAAAGAGATCAGGAACAAGAAGACATAGAAATGAATAGAAAAGAATCAAGACAAAGATCAACAACAAAAGAAAAAAAAAAAACAAAAAGAAAAAAATCAAAAAATCAAAAGAAAAATTGATGTATTTGGAGTACTGCTTGAAGAAAGCATATAGGCACCAAGCAAAAAAGGCTGTAATTAAAGCAACAGCCTATTTGCAAACATATGTGCACATAATGTACCAAGAAAGACTAAAGAAGAACACATGAACTTTATCAGATAGTCATTAAAAAATAATGAGCATGTCAAAAACATTGAACAAGTTTTTAAAAAAGTGAATCTATGGATAGAGATAGACTTTGACTACAAGTATGGCAGAAATGAAACAATACAAAGAATTAGTAAAAAAGAAATTGACTAATACAGAATGATTACAGAAGAAAGAAAAATAGACAAGAAAAGAAAGAAGGAAATAGATGACAGAAAATATTAAAAAAAAGAAACAATATATTAAAATTTAAGAAGAAGAAATATGAAGGGCAAGAAAGTTGAAAAGAATCTACAAAAGATCAAATAGATACAGAAGAAGAAGAGAAAACACAAAAACATAAATATATAACAATTTGGAATCTACTAGCAGACATAAACAAAAAAGAGATCGAGTATATATGCAGAAGATTTAAGAAAGCACAATAACAAGAATCAAGAGATTTAAATACAAGCCCTTTACAATAGTTTAAGGAGAATAATCAGAAGAAGGAAACATATCATGGTCCATATTAGTTAATAGTAACAAACTGGTAAGAGTAACAGAAAGTAAAGAAAATTATAAAGCAAGACAAAGGCAAAGTCAATATATAGCAAAAATAACAAATTTACCAAGCAAGGTTTCAGAAGTTTTACTGCTATACTGTCTAAGAAGCAAAGGTGCAAAATCAGTATACATTCTACCAAACAGAAACAGGAATCAAAGAAGAACAGCAATTATCACATTTGTGACAGAAAAAGAAATAAAGGCAGCTCAATCAAAACCAATTAGATATAACAATTTTCAAGTATCCTGGCTAAATAAAAGAAAGAAATAAATAAAAAAAGAAGAAAGAATTAGAGGAAGAAGAGAAAGAAGCTAGAAAAAAACTAGCTGAAGTCTAAACAAAAGATATACAGAGAAAAGAAATGACTTTCAAATACAAGATGCAGAAGAGTGGTTAGGAGATAGAGACACAACAGATAGAAAAAATCGAGACAAAAACAAGCAGGCTTCAAATGAAGACATATCGAAATAGAAAGTGATCTCTAGTTACAGAATATAGAAGAATAGTTAGAAGTCAAAAACACTAATACAGAAAGAAATGATAGAAACATAATCAAAAAAAAGACAAGACTAGACACACAAGTACATGTAGAAACAAGACAGATAGAAGAAGTTTTAGATCAGATCTTAGACAGACTTAATCAGCTGAAGGATACTCAGCTAGATATAAAAGAAGGCCTGGCCAATCACTCTTGAGAACATCCAAGTTGAACTCATGAATCTGGATGAGAAGATCAGTGATTTTCTGCATAATGAAAGAAGAATATTCAAAGAAAGAAATAGAGAGGAATCTTCTAATTCAAAAAAAAAAAAAAAAGAAAAGGAAAGAGTAAAACAGAAAACACAGAAACAAGATACAAACAACTAAATGAAAAATGAAAAAAAGAGAAGAAATAAATAAAAATTGCATATTATAACATTAATGAACTTAAGACTAAAGGTTGGAAATTAGAAAACCTGCTAGGCTGAGCAAAAGAAGAAAAAATAGCATTTTTGAGAATAACAGAAACAAACATTGTAAAAAAAAAAGAAAAGATCTTATTGTATAATCTTAACACAAGATTTAAAGATTATTGGGTAAGTGCAGCATTAGACAAGAAAAAAGGATTAAATATTGGAATCCTAATAGATGAAATCTGGAAAAAACATGTCAAAGCAGTCAAAAGACATAGCAAATATATAATAAAAGTAAAACTATACTTCAAACAACTAGTACTGATAATAATAGGAGTATATATTCTACCAAATGACAAAGCAATTAGCAAGAAAGTATAGCAAAAAATTGTGAAAATAGTAACAAATAAGAAAAAGCATACAGAAATAGTTATACTTGGGGATTTTAATCATACAGTAGACAATATACTAGACAGACTGCATCCACAGACAACAAATTATAAAAAACTGCCAATCTTTAATTGGCTTAAAAGGCAAGATTTTACAGACTCTTTCAGAAAGTTGCATTCAACTAAAAAAACATACATATGGTTAAGTTAAGAAGCAGCAACAAGAATTAATTATATTTGGTTGTTAGAAACAATTGCAACTGGTCTTCAAGAAGCCAATATAGAAGAAGCAGAAGGTATAACAAGCAGTGATCACAAGATAGTTACAACAGTCATGTAGATAGAACACATAATTGCGAACCAAAGCTGTGCAGAAATCAAATATAAAGACCAAATGAGAACAATTTATCTATATGAGGAAGCA